CTAAACTGGAAGATAAAAGATACAAATCCTATGGAAAGTCATTTCCTCAAATAATTGAAAACAAGGGGTACATAAATCCAGAAGGTGGAGTATGTGTACAATGTGTGTTTATCAAGAAAGTGGCTGGAAATGAGGGAGATATATTTATTTTCATTCTGTCTACCTTCTTGGAAGAGATTCCATGATTTCTGAACATTTGTCTAAAGCTGGGGAACATATTGAGAAAGTGTACCTAAAAATGCACCACAGCTTCCAGTTTGCAGCTTCCCATAGATCGATAAGATGTGGCTGTAAATGCATGTGTTTACTTAGCTTGCTATTCGTTAATTTTACAAAAAAAGAGTTTTCACTGTTTTTGTGCTTCGAATAGTTTTCTGGGCTCATCTAACATAAGCCATAGGGCAACAATTGTCACATAGCTATGAAAGGGGTAGTTTAGGCCAGAAGCTAGCCTATGGAGCATTTCAAAAAGAGTGATTTTTTATATATCCGGTCACTATTTGTTTATCTTTTTTTTTAAAGCTATACTTGTGATTTTGGAATACCGCAGGTGTGATTATCAAAATTAGTCACAAACAAAAGCCAGAGAATCCTCTTTCATATTTTCAACTTCATGTCTTTGCTCCATTTAATTGTCTTCCCCGTGTCCCCTTCCCTTATTTGTATGCATTTGGCCGGCCATCAGTTTGTTTCTCCATCACTGTTATTTTTTCAATTTTCTGGTTCCTTTAGAGCCTGCATTCCCTCTTTGATGTGCTCTGCCCTTCAAGCTTTATAGTTGGTGCTGTTTTTCATGTTCTCTCTCTCTATTTTTAAAAAGCCCTGTTTTTGCCCCTCGTTCCTTTATGCTTTTTTTAGTTAACTCCTTCTTCTTAGAACAAGAGCAAACCCCAGCTCGGAGGGAACAGGTAAATGTTTTTGAAAGAGACAGCCTCAGTACTCTTGGCTTCTTGGCGCTGATGAATAGAAATGATTGAGAGCCTACTTCAAAGACCCTCAAAGAACAAAGCCTCTTTTCAGAGGTCACTAGCAAAGCCACCCATTCCTCCTGACCCATCGTTGCCAAAAGATATGAGCTAATGACAGGCCCCACTCGTCTTGTAAGAGTAGCCAAGTAGGCTAGCGATCGAATACATCGTTGACATAATAAGGGGGGGGACATACTGTTTATCTCTTTAATAACCATCTTGAGGAAAATTAATGTTACTTTGTCCTTTGTGCAGAACAGTAATTGGATTGTGTGTTTCATTTATATCTGGACAAAGGCCAGGATATTGAAATACTTCTCAATATTACATTTTCTTGTTTAAAAATTAGATTTTATTGGCATCCTCGTTCTGAGATTTCTTCATTAAAAGCTTCATTAAACATAAATCTTCTTTCTACACAGCAGAAACAAAATCATTTTCAGGGGGTCATTTTAAAAGTCTCTTGGAAGGGAGGCACTAAGCTCTTCTCTGGTGCTCAGTCTCTTCTCTGAGATACGATATCCCACTAGTGACCACTGTCTACCTGTGTCTAATATTAATTACATGGATGCTTGAAGCTCTACCACAGGTTTCTATGCTCTAGGAGCTAAGGTTATTAAAGTAGGCTGTGTTACAGGTGGAAGCAGTGGTGGTTCAGTGCTAGGCTTCTCTCCTCCCACGTGGGGCACGTGGGTTCGATTCTGAGTCAGTGTACCTCATATGTGGCCACCACACGTCTGCCAGTGGACATGCGAGTATGCTCTGATGCTGAATAGGTTTGGGTGGAACTTCCAGTCTCAGATGGGCTGGGAAGAAAGGTCAGCTCATCGGCTTCCGATAAGCAGTGGATGAAAACCTTATGAACCACAAGGGTCTGAGGTTGCCCTTAGGTAGGAGCTGACTCATTGGTAGCAAACCGCCGTCAAGTGTTAGAATTGAGAGTTGGGACATAAGCTCTAGAACAGGTGTCCTCAAACTACGGCCCGCGGGCCACATGCGGCCACCGAGAACACTTATCCAGCCTGCTGGGTGATTTTGCACCGTTTGTTTTTAACCTCAAAATAAGATATGTGCAGTGTGCATAGGAATTTGTTCATAGTTTTTTTTCTTTAAACTATAGTCTAGTCTTCCAATGGGTCTGAGGGACCATCAACTGGCCCCCTGTTTAAAGAATTTGAGGACCCCTGCTCTAGAGCATTGTTTCAGTGACATCCAACCTTTGGGGAGAACTTTGAAGGAGAACATTGATATAGGTGCTGAACTGCTGAATTCAATTGGACTTTGAGTCCATCTGGTGGCCTTGTAGGCTATCAACTGAGCTGCTCTCTACAAGGCCAGCAGTTGGAATCCACCCATTAATGCTCCTGGGAAGACAGAGGCTGTCTGCGACCAGAAAGATTTAAACACTCAGAAACCTGAAGGGGTAGTTCTACTCTGTCCCATGGGGTCACTGGGAGTTGGAATTGACTTCGTAGTATTGGTGAAGGATCACTACAGCTTACAAGTTTGACACGGGTTTCAGAGAAGGGATGAGCCCGCTACACTAACTTGGTAGATTCACTTCTCAGCCGGGCCCAGCATCGTTTTCTGCACACTGTTTGGGCAAGCTCATCTGTCTACTCCTCTCGACGCTCCAGGTTTCTGGCTCCAACTTTCTGGAGGGAAGGGAGATAATGAAATATTTTGGTTTGAAAGGTGGTCTCCACAGGGCTGCCAACCTCACATGTAATAAGGATAAACAAACAGAGGGCACAGAAAGTGTCAACCTGAGCCAATTCTACTGAGTTGGATCCTGCGTACGGCCTAAAATCCCAGACCCTCTTACAGGTGTGCCTGTCAAGAGCCTGCAAGGGGGACAAGGTGGCCTGTGGCCACTGCGAGTGGTGTGCTCAGAGCCCATGAACGATGATTATTTTTTCCTCCAAAAGGAGAAAGCAACAATGAAACCCCCAGGTGGTGATGTGATGAGCTTGTGTCATGCTGTTTGTATCCTCTGCCTGGAGTCTCTGTCAGTGAACTGCAGACAGAACTGCTCAGCATCTGCCCCGAGGTCAGGATGGGGTGATGAGTGGGTAGCTGCCAGGGATCAGAAGAGGCAGGAGGTCTAATTCCAGAATTACGGGTAGAGTACGTGGCAGGGAGAAGGCCAGTAGCGGGTTGAGACATCTCTGGAGGGGACGTACCGCTCTCACTCACTGCCATCAAATCAATCACGACTCACTGTGACAATACAGAGCAGGGTCAAACCCTGTGTGGGTTTCTGAGATTATAACTCTTTATGAGAGCAGCAAGCCTCATCTTTCTTCCATGGAGCAGCTGGTGGCTTCAAACCATTGAACTAGAAGTCCAATACATCGCTCACTTGGTCACCAGAACTCCAGGAATGGAGTCTCTGAAAGTGTCTTGCTAGAGTTGGAGGCCAAAGCGAACCAGGGGACCCCAGGGAGTGGTATCTGGGGAGGGTCCTCAAGGCCACCTGCTGCCAAGCTTGAAGGGCACCTGAGGTGATCCCCAGAGGGCAAAAGAGAGATGCTTCAGATAGAGAAACAGGCCCATTCACTCCTCCCATTAACCCTGAAGACAAAGGTGTGGTTTTCTTGGGTGTTCTTGAGGACGTCTTTAACGTACAGTTCAAATCAAGCACTGCCCCAAAGGTCCCCTTCCTAGAGGATGCTGGGCCATGTGCCATCAGGAGGCACACATCTCCTCTGGAAACACTTTCGCTTCCAGTCCAGTTCAGGTTCCTCAGAGCAGCGGGGGCACAAGGGATAACTCACTGCCAGCGAGTCAACTCTGACTCATACCAACCCTAAAGGGCAGGGTAGAACTACCCCTGTGGGTTTCAAGAGCTGTAACTGATGGGGGATGAGAAAGAGACTGATTTAGGTAGTTGTTGTTAGCAGCTGCCAAGTCAGCTCTGACTCTCGGAGACCTTATGTGGAGCAGAATGAAGCGTCACCTAGTCCTGTCCCATCTTTCTGATCATCGGGATGTCTGAGCCCACTGTTGTAGCGATTGAGTTAGTCCGTTGAATGGGGGCGGGGGAGTCCTCATTTCTGAACAGAATGACAGGGACAAGACTGCTCTAGGGGACATCTAACAATGATAACTGACCAGTGCCTTCTATGTTACCACATTCTTCGGTTGACTCTGTTTTTCGTTTATAAAGATAACACAGTGAGTAAATAGTATGGTCCATATTTACAATGGGGAAACTCTATCTCTGATCAGCTACCTCTGTCTGAGATCACACATTTGGTAACTGCTGGACTCAGGAGATTGTCTGGGGACGACTCACTCTCATCTTCGGGACCCAGACTCCAGACCTTTTGTCCTCCACATTGAAGTTATTATCATGGTACGCACACTAGTAAAGATGATACTGATTCGAGTAGTAATAGCAGCTAGCATCAACCGACTCCTCCTTCCTTGCAAAGCACTGTCTTAGGTATTTCAGTTGTAAGAACATTCAATCCTCCCACAAGCCTAGGAGAGAAGCTCTACTGGCTGTTTACAGAGGAGAAGACGGAGTCAGTGGGTGGTTAAGTAACCTGCCCAAGGTCAACTGTCATTAATGGCCTCCTGGCTTCTCCATCCTAAATCCATCTAACCTCCATCCTGAATCCCTGCTTGCTGTTACACACTTTCTGTCTGCCTTCACTAGACATGCTAGCTATTGTTTCCGGTTGGGCAGAAGTGAATTCTCAAGCTGGGTAATTAGAGTTCAACTGGGCCCACCAATAAGTTCTTGAAAATAGATACAGTTTAAGAAACACCACCTTGAAATTGAGATAAAGTTTGAAAAAATTACATCTTAATCGATACACGCCAGAGGCTGAAAGCCAGGTTTGTGGTTCCTGCAACATCCAAACCACCGACCTGCTTTTTGCTGAAGACAAAGGTTACCTCACAATAAGAGGTCCAGGACTACAGATTAACCAGCTAGTGCCCGCGGGCTTCCATTTTAGCACTGATTTAGGGTTCTCCAGAGCATCTCAGAGCCGGCAGAGGAACAGAGGTGACTTGCCTTACCTGGGGTGATTGTACGCTATCTGTCTGAACTCGTTGTTCCAGTTGGGTCTTCCATAGAAGGTTTTTTGCTTTAAGCCCGTAATCACGTCAGTCTTTTCATCCCAGTGCAGAGCTATGTGAATAGCCTAAAGTAAAAATTGTGGAATTAGATCACATTTTTTTGGGGGGGGGAATATGTGCCTACTAATCAACAAAAGATGAAGTGATTATATTCACTTATAGATCTAATAATGCAAAGATGTCTCTTATTGGACTAGGAATGTTTATTGTTATTGTTAGAGATCACAGACCCTACATTTTAGGACTGGCATTAATCTCCTGAATCTTTGTAAGGATACAAAATACCTCTCATGTTGTCGGTGAAACATTAAATCCGTTTAGAGCTTGTTTTTTTTTTAAGAAGCTTGTCATACAGCAAATATGGTTAGGGAACAGGTGTCCCGATCTGGGGAATATGAAGTCCTGTGGGTTTGGGAAGGACATGGTCAGAATAAAGACATGCAGAAGCTGAGTTGTACCCTTGAACCTCCCTACCAGGTTGAGGTGGTAGCAGGTGTCCTGTCTAGTTTCCGTGCTGGGAGGCCATTCAGTCTGGCAGATAGCGCATGGTGGCTCCAGCAAGGGCTGGGGCTGGAGCCTCGTGTCTTTAACCTTTCAGCACACGCCGGCAATCATCCCATAACAAGAAGACATTCAGAGTCTTTCCATTTGGATCCTGAATGAGATTGTTTGAGTTGCTGTCACTTGTTTTAGTCCCAACTGGACTCTGATGCCTGCTTGCTTCTTTACCTCTGTGTCCCGTGGGCTGAGGCCTAGCTCCCTCAACCGCTCTTGAACTCTAGGGTGCTCAAATGTGTTCTTTGACATGCTCTGACTGTGTTGGCTTCCTGATCCATTTGAAGGACAAATCTCTGGACCCAGCTGCTCTTCCAGTCTCCACCCCTGACTTGGCTTCCGTGGTTCCCTTCTCTCCAGTCCTGGAAAGGAGGCTCCACCGAAAATCATAGGAGCATCCCCAGCAGCCAGTACTTCACAGCAGACTGGGATTTAACAACCCGGGTCATGTGGATTTTCCACCAGGACTGCCATTGGTGGGAAAAAAGAGTAGGGCTGGACCCTCTTCTTTGGTCGGGTTGCCAGGGGAGAGATTGAAGCACAGAGCAGGAGATGAGGGCTCAGGAATAAGACCTGGGCTGGGAGATGATGATTTGTTCAGTGCCGGCTAGTTGGTGCTGACTCAGCGACCCTATGTTCAACACAAGGAAGCATTGCCTGCTCCGGGGCCCTCCTGACAACTGTTCTGCTTGAGGCCACTGTTGCAGCCACTGCAGCCACCTCCTGGAGGGTCAATCCTCCTCCTGGAGGGTCAATCCACCTCCTGGAGGGTCAATCCACCTCCTGGAGGGTCAATCCACCTCCTGGAGGGTCAATCTACCTCCTGGAGGGTC